CAGGAGAAGTTAGGAAAAGCAATAAATGACACAGATCACATATTGCAGGTGTTCGCCTAGCCCCATTGGGGTAGTTTCGCGACCGGAAAAAGCTCATCAGTTCGTAGCGAACTGATGAATTTAAAGAAAGAAACGTGCAGCTATGCCAACTACAAGTTCTCCTTGAGTTATTTTTCTTCTTTTTCTGTTCTATCCTTATATCTATTCGCTTCTTTTTATACCATCGTTTGTTCGAATGTCTATTACATTCCTGATGATGCCAACTGAAAGCTGGCGAAAGGCTCATAAAGTATTTTCAAGATTGAAAGTCATGTTATTCATAGCAGTTCTATATTCGATTTACAAATACTTATTTCCAACTGCTCTACTAACAAATTTCATAACTACAGTGACACTTTTTCTTGCCATTTAGCAATGCGAATCTCATTTGTTCTAGCCAAATCACGACCACTTTTAGGAGAAATCGCTTAATGTAATCTGATAAGGTCTGGCCATGTGGCTAGGGCCTTGCGGAATTGAGTTTTTTCGTCCGGATCCCGATCCCGTCCCATAGGCTTAATTACAATCCGGTTAAATCATTTTTTTCGCTCGAATACATGAACTCAACCACAACTATTGATGAAGACGGAGGGGAAGATGTTTTAGACTGTTGGAGAACACATCAACAAGCATATCCAATGATATCATCTATTGCTCGAGAAATTCTCGCTGTTCCTGCATCAAATACAGAAGTAGAACGACTGTTCTCGTCTACCAAAAACACTGTCTCCGATCGTCATACCAGTTTAGGTGAAAAAAATTAATAAACTAATGTTTCTTCAAAAGAATATGTGGACATTAAAGGAAATGGAGAAAAGCGAGACGGTTGAATCAACTGTCTCGTCAAGTATCAACTGTATTGATACACCTGCGTCAAAACGAAAACCACTAGATGAAAATGAACAGCTATTTGTAACGATAAAAAAATCTAAAATTCAAATTGAAAGTGATGGTATAGATGACGATTGAATTGAAAAGAAAATTAGGCTTTCCCCGTCTGTCTTTCTCTGTGTACATCACTGTTTAGGCTGTTGAACATATATTTTCTTTTTGATTTTCACACTGATATGTAGGCTCTTAAAGAGATATTACTTTTATTTATGTTGTACAACGATGTATAAGCAAGCAAACTGATATTTTGTTTGTTTACTTTATTTTTGTGATAAAGAATATAGTTCCAATAAACTGGCAAAGAAAATCCCAATCCCGAACCCGTCCCGTAAGCTTGACCCCGATCCCGATCCCGTAAATATTTGTCCTCCTATCCCGATCCCGCAGGACTCTACATGTGGCTTTTACAAAACTTTGATCACTTAGTCGCTCATATGTGAACAGTTTTATTTCGTTTGCAAATATTTGTCAAATGCATGTTGTCTGGACTTCTAACCGAGGAAAAGGCAATCGATTGAGGATTTGAAGTTCATAAAATCTAGAAAATAATGTTGAAAAATGTCGGTTTCAAGGAAAAGCAAACTCAGTTGGATGATTATGGATTAGCAAGAGTAGTGACTTCAGTCTGCGATAGTTCTCGATTATGAACATAGAGTTCATCGACTGCGCCCTGATACGCAGTATTTGGAATGGAACCAGAAGAGCAGGCCAGACCGGATCCAATTTGAAGCCATGTTATACTGCCAGAACCCGAAAATCCACTAGAACCGGTGTTGCCGAAAAGAACTCCGTTGACGTACAGCGAGTATCCGTTTGTCACACTGTATGTCCATGAGATGTGTGTCCATGTATTTGCCGTTACATAAGGGCCATATATTGTCGGCCAAGCCCAGCCTTGCACAGTTAGTTGACCCGCGTAGTTAGCAGTTGACCAGACCCCGATCATATTCAAACATGTCCCACCACTCTGATTGGTCGATTGTTGAATGATTGAGCAACTGGTGGTCGACGTTGGATTTACCCACAGAGAAATCGAAAACGGTTTGTTAGAATAAAGACCGAACAGTTGATAGAAACCGTATACTTGAAAATAAGACGATGAACCAGTAAAAACCAATGCTTGATTCACACGTCCGGTAACTGTTGCTGTGTTCGCCGATGTTCCATTTAATCCATTTGGTCCGTTGTCATTGCTTGGGTAAGGTAGATCAAATGAAAAATAGGCTGTCAAAGATGCATCGTTGAGAATTTCTGTCGCTGATTTGGCCCGCGTGCTCACTTTCACATTGTCAATGTAGCCGTTGAAATAGTTTGTTGATAAGAAAACTTGAGTCGAACCGATCTGAACAGTTCCATTTGTTCCCTGATAAGGTTGTGCATTCGACTTTATATTGTCCTGATATCCATTTAAATACAAGATTTGTTGTTGGTTCTGGTAATTATAAACAAATGCAATGTGATACCAAGTGGAAATTGTGAGAGTCGATGAACCGGACAAATCGTTGTATGTAAAACCAATATACAAGCGATTTGCTCGAATAATGAAATACAAACACTGGTTTGTACACGATGAACATTGACATTGGCCGAAAACACCATTATCGCCTGTGTAACTTGTTGTTGAATAAATCCAAGCTTCGATAGTGAAACTCGTATAAGACAGATTAAGAAATGGAGTCGAGACTTGAAACGCTTGACTTGATGACGATGTCAAACTGAGTGCTTCACCGTAACCCACGTAGCTACTTGAGGCCAGAGAATATGTTGCGCCATTAACCGTTTGACCATTGTAAACACCGTACAAATCAGTTGTTATATTGTCAAAAGACCAGTATGCAGAAACAATTGTCAGCGATGTGGTGGTTGCTGTAGCTAAAGAATCAATCGAAGTATGTCGATTGCTAATACTGAAGGTGAACTGGTCAGCCATTAAGGCAACCAGATTGGCGGGGTATTCTCTTCAACTGAATTTAACCGGCGACGTTTCGACACCGATTTTTGCCAATTATCTGCTCTCATTTTTCAGTTGAAACGTAGACGTATCCGGCTCATCTTGTTCTTCAAAAAGCGGTTGTAGAAAGACTATTCTGGCAAACTCATCTTCATTACTTAGTTATCCGATGGAACCTTTTAAAATAATTGCGAATTTATTAACTGTTGAATGGTGACTGGAGATTCACAAAAATGCCCACAGGAACAGCATTTCCACACTATTCCCAGCCCCATATCTCACTACTCTAGACAGACGACATAGTGAAGTATCGTTCTATATCCTGAACGCGTTAGCCGCTGTATAAGCACATCTTGTCCGTATCATTCTCTCTCATCTTTCTTTTCTGTACCCTTCTTGTGTAGGCTCCATGAATATCTCATCGACAATAACAAAGGATAGAAAAATGTGCAAACAATCTTGTCGGTCGTTACCAGAGTCATTTTTCTCAACGGCTCTCTACCGGTAAGTCGTCGATATAGGTTACATGTATGAGCTTTGCACATATGTTGCTCAACCCTGTAACCAAAGCGCCGTGCCCGAATGGAGTTTTTCCACTTAACCAAAACTGACGTTAATTGAGACAGCATCTCATGCTTTATCGAAACATCTATTAATTAATATTGTTTCGAAGAAGAATTTTCTCGAGAAAGTTTTAAGTTATTCATTGAACAGAGCCTGTTCAGAAACCAAGTTCATTCGTATTCTGTTTGGTCTGTACAAACTGCCATTTCCGCTAAAGTGATCGCTATTACATAGACCACAGATACTGTCAAAAAAGCTCACCCTAGTTCGAAATGAAATATATCGACAAGAGCAAAGATAGATTATAAATCAATATAAAGCTGCAAAATTCGACTGAAATACTTGGGGAAACTCCTTCTCATCTCAAATATTCAGCAGATCTTGAGCGGAAAAGGACAACTCTACTGTCAATTACCTGTTTTTCGCGAAAGTAAAACGCTCAGAAGAATAACCGCGATAACAACACCAGCTATTAAAAGACCCAAGAAGACTTTTCTTTGCGTGGACCATCTGCAATTAATCGAAGACGAAAGGTAAGTTAAGCGATTTAAACGAGAAGAAATGTTTCACTTTGCTGTGTTTTGTATGCCAAGTAGATTTGCTTTTTTGTGTAGCTGCATTGACTGTCTGGTAAGAGAAAGTGAAGTTGCTGGGTGTAATGTTTTGGACGGAACCTAAACGAGTTTTAGAACTTTTATGTTATTTCAAATCTTGGCAGGAAGCGTTTTTTTTGGCTCACGTTAGAAAGCTGACTGTTGTTCGTTTCGTTTATAGTGCTTTGACGAAAACCTTGAAGTGTCGGTGGTGCTATCCGATAGGGTGGCGCTTGATGGTCACTGCTTACTGGCATGTCGGAGATGAATGGCTACAACGATGATAGAGAAGAGGTAACCGTCACTGTCGACAAACAGATCCAAAATTATCGATCTTCGACACAGTTATAATTTTTGTTTTTCTTTTGTAAACATCGCTTAGAATATTAAATTTTTATCAGACTTTATCGGTCGAGAATCTATAAGGCTTAAATGCTCGCTGCTTTTAAAAATAGTTCTATCTAAAACTATTGCGTTTTCTTTGGCTCAACAGAGAAGTTATCTAAGTGATTCAAAGATTCTGAGGCAATAAATCGGGAACGGACTTCCGTCGGATCGAGCTGCCCATCGAAAAAACCGTCAAATTAAAATGTTTATCTATTTTTTTTAAACCATTTATTTTTCACATTAGTAAAGTGGCAAAGCGTAATCATATAAGCCACTGACTCTTATACAGTACAATAAAATATGAAAGAAAAGAAAAGAGTAGAATAAGATGAGAATCAAACAAATGAGATAGACGTGTACAAGTACCAAAGGAATGATCTATATCAATAATACCATTGTGAGAGGGAACGATTAGTAGAGAAGAAAAAAAAATTATCTTTGAAGTTACACAATTCGCCTGTACCTTTTTAATATGTCATTCTCTTTCGATAACTGGCTATTAAGGAAGCTATTGGCACTCCCATGCAAAAATTTTGCTGGAAGTGTCAACAAGGACGTCATCTGACATATGAGCGAACTGACGTTGAGCGTTTCTCGAACTACACTTTAATTCGGATTGTATATTCGCACTTTGACGGGCATCGCGCTCATCGGGAAGGGAGGAGGACAGATGGAGGAAAATTTCCGGTATTCAGAGTCATGTCGAACACTCAGTTCAACCATAGTTTCAGCAAGCAGGTGATTTCAAAGAAGTTTAACATTGTGGTAGACTGTATAAGAGATTTAAATATTGGCTGATCTTCTTATTGACACGCGCGAGGGTGCCAATATCAATTTTCATCTATTAGATTTTTAGCTTTTTTACATACGGTGCTGCTAATGCAAAAATCAAGTGGAAAAGGTTTTTGAATTTTCAAATGCATACTCTGATCCATCGGACGCTGCTGATCACGAATCTGATATTATTTTTTCGATTTCACCGAGTTTTCATACAGAAAATCTCAAAATACTGTGAGGGCGTCAAAAAACTTGAAAAAACGATTTTTCAGAAAAATCCCGATTATCTCCTGATCTTTTCATTTTTCGATCTCATCGCTGCGATTTTTGGATTCAGCATCGTGAAGCACATCTAGGCACTTGTCATTCGATGACTTTTCTTCAAGTCTTAAACTCTTGTAGCTGATCAAACACTGATCACTCGAACCTTGAGGTTCTCACCGCGCAATGCTATCTGGTTTTTTGCCATGAGGGCTAGAGGCTTCTTCAATACGCCAAAAAATTTGCCTTGCCTTCCTCCACAAAAGTATGTGTCGTTTTTTCCAAAACCTTTTTCATTTTAGGAGAAATTAGGAAAAGACTGAAAAAGTGCGAGTTTTCGAAAAATCCTTCAGATGATGAGCCCACAGCTCAGCCATATTTCCACCTAGAGACCTGCTATTATGGTTTTCTACGTAAAAAGCAATGCTAAACACGTTGGAAATGCGCTTGACAGATTTGGAGTTTTCCAAGTAGGTCTTCCGAAAAACTAGAACTCTAAGAAACCTTCAAGAGGCTTTTGGAAATCTTTTTTGACTCAAGCGCATCATATGGACAGAGCGTCAAATTCTGAGCAAAATGAGACGTCCTCGAACCTTCTAGCACATATTCAGGCTGAGATAAGACCATTTTACTTTCAGAGATCCGGCTGACCCAAAATCCTTTAGCGGCACCTTACTAACCACCCTCATCCTCACTATCCACCTGCGCTCCTTCTACAGCCCTCCTGGAAGCAGAGAACAGGGATCGGATATTATCCGAAGGACATTGTAATTACATCATCACATTTTGACCCGTTTTTGACAGGTGATAGTACTTTCGTCACGTTAGTTTTCGTCACATAGAAAAAGAACTTTCGTCAAAGTGTATGGTATTTTTGGGGTAGTACCACCCCACACTTTGGTCACAAAAGTGGTGAACTTTCGTAACCAAATGTGTAACATACCTACAACTATCACCACACCCCATCGCGAACTTTCGTCATAACTCACCAAAAACTTTCGTCACACTACTAGCATAGTACTGCTTGCGTGTGGACTACTCCAGTTTGGGCTGCTGCAGTGTGGACTACTTCAGACCGAACTACTCCCAATCGCGATTGAAACTTTTTTTGATACTTTGACTTTAGAAAAGACGTCAAAAAGGTTTTACGCGTCTGCTAAGAAAATGCAATGTTTGTAAAGAAAAAAGTAAGAAGTTATTACTCCAATTTGCATTTCTCAGTTTGCATTGCAGTTGTGACTTTTTGTCACTGAAAACAATGCTGAGAAATTTTTTGATCCCACCCTCCTTCTGTTATCATCAATCGTCATCATTTCTTGACCGTTACTTTCGATTACGTCAACATTTGGCTATCCCCTTCTCTTTGACCATATGACTAATTTTTCCCACAATCAATTTTTAAAGTTCGTCAGGAGTTTTAAGAAAAACTCGTGTTGCACAAAACAACTCAAACGTTGACAGAGTCATATTTGTTTCATCATGGTAGAGCCGTTTTTATTTCAAACTCATTGAGTGAATAGTCTCGAAAAAATGTCCAATTTTAGTAAATAACAGAGTAGGGCGAATGATGAAGCTCATTACTTTTAAATAACATTTAATGAAGCTACTGTGCTCAATTCTCACTGCGCTTTCTTTTTCGAGATAACGATTCGATTGCTGCATCTTTAGAAGCCAGCACGTAGTTTGAGTTTATTTCCCTAAAACCTGGTAAAAGTACTGGAAATGGACAGATGATCGGTGAATAGTCCCGAACGAGTCTTGAATGATCTGAAAGCAAGGATTCGATGATGCTGAGTCGAATGAGGGGATAGTTTTGCCCAAAACTGATTCAATCTCTTTTACAACGAAACGAACGACCGCATAGGGAAAACTTGTGGCCATAGCTTTTTTGGTGATTGCTATCATAGCCGATCATGCGAAGAAAACATCAAACGTTTCCCTTAAATCTTCCTGCAAAAACGCTTCTGAAGCCATCAAACCGGCTCCGACTCAATCGTCGGTGAGGGTCGCCACTCCCGACTCGTCGCTCTTATATTGTATGCTCGCGTGTGCCTATAAACGACAAATTTTAGCGCACTACTAAGGTCCACGCCTAAGATTCTGACTAAAATGCAACCTAACTCTTTGATATCACGTTTCAAATTTCTTCGAAAAACACTCTAGAACGCTGCACACAGAAAAAGAATGTTTGCTGCAAATTAGTAATGCACCATTTCTAATTCTTAATTTGAAATTATTCGAGAGTGGAACGAGATTGAAATGAGTTACCATATGTTTTGATGAATCTACGAGAAAATTTTATTAAAAAACACTGATAATGAGAAATCCGAATATAATATCATATCTCATAAAACGTGATCAACAGCTATCGAGAACAAAAAGTTCAAATCCGATGCT